ATATATATATATAGATATATATATAGATATATATATATATATATAATGTAACGCGGACTGAAAGAGCGAGGAAGAAGAGAGATTGGACGCTCTCGAGCAATGGTGATTCGGCAGTGACGGTATAGCGCTGACATCTTTTTCAGTGTAAATAAACCCATCACATCCGTAACAGCTTTGGTGGAGGTGCTGGGCACCCTTGGTGAAATGCTGTCTATGTATACATCTCGTCGGACCACTCCATTTGGGACCGAGTACTCCCGTTCATCACGTTCGCCTATAATACCGCCATTCAAAGCACTGGGTTCTCTCCTTTTTTCCTCCTTTACGGACGCGAACCTTCTTGCACTATGGACACCATTCTTTCGTACAGAAAATCCATCACATCCGTAACAATATATATATATGCGCCTCCGACGACGTTACGAAGGAGGGCGCTACGAATCTCACCGCTGCAACCACTGTTTCGAAAGACGGCGACGCCAACACGGTCCCGAAGGCGCCACTGCTTCGAACTCCACCGGGAAGGTCACTATATATATATATATATATATATATATATATATATATATATATATATATATATATATATATATATATATATATATATATATATATATATATATATATATATATATATATATAGTAGTGAAGAAGATGAGTGCTACTCGGATAGGCAGGGGGTATCACAGTCTGTGAAGAGGACGACGTTTAGTTGTCTGGGTACACAGGCTGGTTCCGGAATTACCACTTGACTTGTCTTGACCGCTCTCCTGTTTTATAAAAGAGTGCCGCTCTAAAACGCCGCATTTTAATTGGTGGAAGTGCTGGGTAACGCATAATCCTGGAATTGCGAAACCGTACGTTGCCTCCAGTTGCTACGATGTCCACGGACGACGATCAGCAGGCGGCCGCCTCGGCTCCAACTACTGCAGCTCCTGTCTGTTTCGGCTCCTTTCGGCAACGCGATCCGCCTACCTTCAGTGGCCGATGACAAGGACGTGAAAGACTGGCTCGACGAATACGACCGAGTGAGCAAGCGCAACAAGTGGGACGATGCGCACAAGCTTACTGTCGTCTAATTTTATTTGACCGACGTCGCCAGCTTGTGGTACCGTAATCACGAGAGAAACCTCCCCACCTGGTCGGCCTTCCGAACTGTGTTTGCGGACTTGTTTGGCCGTCCACCGCTTCGCAAAATACAGGCCGAACAGCGCTTGCGTACTAGGGCTCAGCAGAGTGGTGAGAATTACACCAGTTATATCGAAGATGTGGTCGACCTTTGCCGCCGTGTCAACTCGGCCCTGACAGAAGCCGAGAAGATCAAACACATCTTGAAAGGCGTGACTGACGACGCATTTCAGATGCTTGTTGCCAAGAGCCCGCAAACGGTAGCGGAAGTGATCCAACTTTGTCAGAGTTATGACGAGCTCTGGAAACAGCGTGACACCACTCGTCGTGCCAGAGCGCCATGTGCAACAATCTCCGCGTTAACGTCGGCTGGCACTGCTATAGACCACAGCATTTTGCTTCTCGAGATCAAGCGATTTGTACGAGAGGAGGTCGCACGCCAGTTGTCCCTCGTGCCTTATACCTCCGAAGGTGCCCCATCTACTTTAGTGCCATCAATACAGCGAGTAGTTCAGGAGCAAGTGTCCGAGGTGCTACTAACAGGTCACGCACCACTTGTGGCTGCTCCACTGACCTTTGCCGAAGCACTGAACGGAACCCGACGTCCGCCTGTCGCGAACGCCCACGTTTCTTTGTCGCGAACGCCTACGTCCACGCGCCCCTTTGTCGTACCGACTGAGCCTATGTACCAGGCTGCCCGTCCTTTCTCCCGGCCACCACCACCACGCATTCAGAACTGGATGATCGGCCACTCTCTATGCAGATGCTACTGGAACACCGTCCTCGCCTTTTGTTGGCTCAGAAAGTAGTCAAAGCTGTCTTGTGCTTTTTGAGGACTACAGGCCTACGTGACAACCTTTAACTTTTGTGTAGTGCCACCGCTGCATACGCGCCAACCGATTGACTGACAATCCTCTTTTTTCTCTCTCTTTCTCTTCTCTTTCCCCTCGCTCTCATCTTTATTGCCCCTTCCCATTCCCTCAGCGTAGGGTAGTAAACCTGTCATGTGCCTGGTTAACCTCCCTACCTTCTCTCTTGTTGTTCACCCCCCTCCCCCCTTGGCGCGCTCAAGACAACCGTCCCATATGCTTCGCCTGTGGAATTGCGGGTCACGTGGCGCGATTTTGTAGACGGTGTGAGTTTTTGCTGCGTGACGACGTCTGGCCCAACAATTATGATTTCTCACCACGACCGGAGCCTGCTGTATCAGGCGAGCCTGCCACCATGGACACATTTTCACCTCGCCGGAACTTCAACAGACACTGGTCGCCTTCACCTCAACGCCGTTCCCTTTCCCCTATGCTACGTCGACCTCGCCCTGTCCCTGAGGAAAACTAGGAGCCGCAGTTCCGGGGGCAAAAACTGCGGATCTTTCGAACTCCACAAGACCTTGTTTTTCGCCATCCAACGTCGTTGCTGTCTCCGTTGAAGGTATACTTGTTTTTGCATTGGTCGATACTGGCGCCGCAGTGTCTATAATGACTGAAAAATTTTGCCGGGATGGTACGCCACTAGCTCCACGGCACATTCACATGAGGCATCAGAACCACTCTTTTTCGCGTCCGCGGAGTATGCGGTGCGAGCAGTATTCACGGTGGCGACATGCCCATCCAAGGAAGCCTGGACAGTGCTCCGTGGAGTCCCGTATGTTGGTAGAGTGCTGGTAACGGGAGGGTGTGTGTATTCTCCCGGCAACCGCGATAATTGTTCAAAAAACTTTCTCCAGGCAGTCGCCTTCCATTAGCTCTCATATGTCACGTGACTAACTGCCGGGCGATTTTTTTATAATATTCTCCCGGAAACTGAGAGAACTTGACCCCTAACCTAACGCCCGCTAGGCCACATCTGTCCTGTCTGTCCCGCTGCTGCCAGTTTTCCTCTTCTTCTCCCCCCTCCCCGGCAGTTCGTCTCGTGACATATGAGAGCCAATGGGAGGCTACTTAATAGAGCGGTTGACTGGGCTAGTTGGTATGGCATACTTGGGTTTTAGCAGCGCGAAAAATGCACAAAAGACAAGAAAGGGACGAGACAAGCACTGACTTCCAACTAAAATTTTATTGACGGGGAAGACCGTTAATATGCAATGGAGCACAAAGAGTGAAAAAAATGACGTATTTTAAGATACAAATTATCAACTAACGCATAGCAAATTAGTAAAGAGAGGCATTGTTCAATCATGTTTTCACAATGCTTTAGAGAGGTCGTGTCACCACGTCTTAGAAGCTAGTCTCTTGGCACAGTCGGAGCGCCTAGAAAGAGAAGGGTACCCTCGCACTTTGCTCATTTCCGTGGCGGAGGCAATACACAGAAAAAGGAAACGATTGGGCACTGTTTGCAACAGTGATGGCACCACAGCGGAGAAGAGGGAAAAGGTAGCGGTTATTCCGTACATGCATTCTGTGTCACACCGCCTAAAGAAAATAGGACAGCGCCTCAATGTGAAAGTGGTCTTCAGTGCCCCTGATAAGTTGTCCCAGTTGACAAACAGGACCTGCCCCGTAAAGAGTATGAGAAAACGGTGTATGGTGAGGCACAGAACGCAGTTTGTGGACTGCGCGTTAGGCGTCGTTTACAGGACCCCTTTTTCTTGCGGTGCATGTTATGTGGGCCAGACGGGCAGATGCCTTAACGATCGCTTACGGGAACATGCCAATAATGTTCGTGGCGGAAAAGATGGCTTCTTAGCGCAACACGTGAGCACGTGTGGGTGCACTCCGCTGTTTGAAAAAAACAACAGTTCTATGCAAGATTAAAGAGGAAAACGTGCGTATAATTTATGAGGCTGCTCAAATGGAGCTTGAAAGCAGCGCATGTGTAAGCAAGCCTTCAGTTGCCCTTTCAGATAAAGAGATATGTTTCTTGAGATGCGAGGGTAGGCGCAGCAGGCACGGCGTTAGTTGATAATTTGTATCTTAAAATACGTCATTTTTTTCACTCTTTGTGCTCCATTGCATATTAACGGTCTTCCCGTCAATAAAATTTTAGTTGGAAGTCAGTGCTTGTCTCGTCCCTTTCTTGTCTTTTGTGCATTTTTCGCGCTGCTAAAACCCAAGGGAGGCTACTGCCGGGTGAATTTTTTTTAACAATTATAGACACTGCTGTGGGAAGCTTGAACTGCATTCCCAAAGGACTGGAGCCGGTGAGCATCCCTGCCGTGAAGCGGTGGCACGGTCTTCATCAGGTCATGCTCTAGAACCACAGGGGAGGCCTGGACGCCATCCACTGGTAGTCTGAAGGGTAGCTGAAGTGGCGGGTGGGCCCCATCGCCAAGGAAGCGTGAACGGCGTTCCTCGATGGAGAAGCCCGCGCTGCCGACGAACCGCAAGGACACGTACCGGTATCTTCCTGTAGAGGGTTCACTTGTCGGACTGCGCCATTGTAAGGAAGCAGACAGAGAACAAGAGACAACGCCCGATCCTGGGCCAGCTGTTCTTATTCTGTCCTTCGTCTTCCTCTGCTTCTTCCAGCTAACTCCTCGCGCCCAGAGCCCTGATTCTGCTGCTCTCAGTCATCACAATATATATATATATACTGATTGATTGATTGATTTGTGAGGTTTAACGTCCCGAAACCACCATTTGATTATGAGAGACGCCGTAGTGGAGGGCTCCGGAAATTTTGACCACCTGGGGTTCTTTAACGTGCACCCAAATCTGAGTACACGGGCCTCTAACATTTCCCAATATATATATATATATAGTAGAGAAGCCGCCGAACACTGAAGTGGGGCAAACTCTCAGGTGTTCTCTAGTGGGTCTACCCAAAAAGAACGCCCCTCGCGCTGAGAGTCCGTGCTAGGCCGTTACTGTCGCCATTGTGTATACTCGCTGTGTAGGCGCCATAGCATATTGGTGGTGTTTTGTTACGCGGTTATGGCAGACGACATTTCAGAGGATATTTGCGACGACTGGGAGGATATGGTCGAAAATGGCGTGCTGGAGAAGATGTTGAAAAGGTTAAAGGTGAAAACAAACTCCGCAAACAGTAACGCGAATCCTCCTTCAAGTGGAGGCGGCGCTGGCGGTGTCGGTGAAGTGACGGTGTTGCCGCGTGTACTGCTCGAAGACAGTGTTCGGACGCAGTACACGCCAGCCGTGAAGATTCTGAAGCGACCCCCGGACGCGAGCCGGTCTGGTGGGAGCGTGAACGGCACTGGTCCCGAAAAGTCGTCCATCCGGCAACCCGTCAAGAGCTTACAGCAGCGGGAAGCCGAGTACGCCGAGGCGAGGCTGCGGATACTGGGCTCAGCTCGCAGCGAAGACGACGGCCAGAAAAACAAGTCATCCGGTGTAAGTGTCTTAAGCCGCGTGGTGACCGACCGACAGCAAGTCCCCATTCGGCAATTTCGTGGCCCCGATCAGGGATCCAATGGCTTTCAGCAGCCACGGAGGTAGCCCCAGCTTTGGGCGCTGCTGCTTTAGATTCTACACCGCGTGTGACCCTTGCTCCCCACCCTCCTATCACCGACTCGCCGACATCGTGTGTGCCTCACACTAGCTAACTTCTGCTGCTGCCTGTGGACTCCTGTGTCAGAAGTGCTCGAACTTGAGGAAATGAAGCAAAAGAACAAACGTTGACGTGGATCCACTTCAGTGTCCGGCGGCTTCTATAGCATGGTGGGCCCATTATATAGACAGTGACGCACCAACTCTTTCAAGATTCGGGAGGGGGGCAAACCTACCTTACTCGTCAGCCTATATATATACTATCTACTTATCTACCTTGTCTACCTTATCTGGCCAGCTACGTCTTGCTGCACCGTAGTTGCCTCATGGCAAAGGGGGCGCGATGGTTTGAGATGTGTCTGGTTCCGTCATAAATAACGTGAAAAACCATGTCGTGTATGTCATGAAGCTCTTTCAGTCATGTGTGTCACATACCCGTATACCATGGGCTGCTATATGCGGGTATGCGGCTATGCGCCCTAAAGTTTGTATCTACCTAGAATTTAAACGAGAGAACATTTAAAAGATTCCGGCCTCGGCAGCGTCGATCAAACGACTGAAAAGAATAAAAACCAGGATCTTAGCAGGAATGAAACCCAAGCATTCCATGTTGCCGTCATGTATTCTACCACAGAACCACGCAAGGTCTTGAATCTGCTTTGCAAAAGGCAGACATCAAGTTGGCGCAAAGTGAGTACAATTACACTGCTAGCTGAGTTTATAACAAGGAGATAAACATTGCGCATGTACTCCTACGTTGAACTACCCCTCGTCGCTTTCTTTCGTAGTGGTCCTTAGATGTATATAGATTGGCCTAAATATGCTGTGTCATGCACAAAGAACCAGCTCGTTACGCGAGGCAACAAATGACGCGAAAATGATTCATTGCATAACGACCACTTATGCATCACCACGTGAAAATAAAAGAATAATCTCGTTTTTTTGTTTTTTTTTTCAATATGACACATTGTGTGTCATTGGTTTTTCAACGTTCAAAATTTTGTGAGTGCCATAAAATTGCGTGCTGGTTACATGACGTCATGAATCTATGAAAGTTCGAAGTGTTTACTACAGCGCATGCACATTAAACAGCGCATTCAAGGGCTGAATAATACCTAAAGCTTTCTGGAGTAGCCGGAGAGCATCTCTTTCAAAAACGTAATTCAAATAGTTTAGCTGCCGATGACATTAGCAGCGGCTACTTATAGCAGCTGGACAGACATATTAATATTAGTATATTAAAGTATTTTCACTGTGCAGCATAACGACGTTTAGGAGCTTGCGCAAATGTGCATCTCTGTGAGCTCACACTTACTGAGAAAGAGGGAGAAATAAGGAGCTCTGCACGTGTGCTTCTTTGCTGTCCGAGTGGCACTTATGATGTAAAGGACAATTCAAGTTCAATGAAAACCAACCAACTAGCTAGCCCGTCTTGTAATTAGGCCTCCCTAGTGGTAAAAAGCATGGTCTTTCACCTTCTTCCTGGTCGAGTTGCGGGGCAAGCTTAAAAGCTGAACTTCCCACTGTGCTATAGAGCCCATAGCTTTATTCGTCGCCACTTCGCAAGCTGCATGCCACCATCGCTCCAAGTTATGGTATGCAAGGCTGATCAGGTTTATCGGAGATTAAAGTGGAAAGCTTTTTTTTTTTTGCGCTTCCAGTACGGCAAAACTAAATCATTAAAAAAAAAGATGCGTAACACTCATCGGCCCACAACAGCTTCGACAGAGCAGCGGTGATGCTGTTCCTTTTCAATGAAAGAAAAGTACTTTCCTAAAGCAGCACATGTTTTGACCAATCGATAAAAGTTTGCTCGTTCCCATCCGTATAGCTGCATCGGCCAGTCACGGCAGAGTAAAAGCGTGGAAAAGTGATGGTGTAGGGTCCCTGTTCAGCGCTAGCCTGCTCTGCAATGCCAAAGCACAATGCGTGAATGCGCTGCATAGGCGGCCCGCAGCGCGAAAGAGCCTACAAGGAAAATCGTCACAGCATAAATTATTTAAAAAATTGACTATATTGTAACGTCTTTTCGTAACAATTTTATTTCATCGTAACAATATAATTGAGCGATTACTGTGGTGAAGGAAAACTTCGCCTCAGTTGGTTTCCCCAGCGTGCAGCCAATAGTGACCACTATATGGGGGGATTCAGCCCCCTTAATTTTTCTCAGTGGGGAGGCTCGTGCCACCCTTGCTCCCCCTGCTGATACGCATATGCCTATAGGTGTTCTTGGCTAGGATATGATTTTACCACTCACCTGTCTGTTTTTTTTTTCACCCCTGGCTATAACTATACTGCACATGCCTATCCTTGCTCTGTTTTTCCTTCTCTGCTTAATGTGCTGTGTTTATCTCTCTTCCCTCTCTCCTCTCTATCTTTCATCTCCCCCATCCCCCTCCCATGCGCAGGGTAGCGAACCGGCTGCCTATAGACTGGTTAACCTCCCTGCCGTTCGTTTCTTCCTATTTTTCTGCCTTCCTTCCTTTTCTATATCTTCCCTTTTCTCTCTATCTACTTACCCCTATTTGCCTCCGTTTATCGCTTCCTATTTCTATCTTCATCTCTATCTATCATTCTTTTCTTTCATTCTTCCTATTTCTTTCTTTCTCTCTCTTCCTCTACATCCTTGCCATCATCCTCCAAATTACTCCACTTTCCCGCCTCCTTGCTATACTGTACGATACGAGGCTGTGCTATGCGCTGCTAGCATGTATGTATAGACGTGTATCCGGGTCGCGGGTGCGCTGGTGCGAACCTCGCCTTGCCAAGATTTTTTTTTTTTGCCAAGCTATTCTCTCTTCACTGAGTACATTTCTCTCTCTGTACTCGTTCTTACGCCCATCAGAGTTATCGCTTGCCATGGCGGACAAATCGGCAGCGCACATGTTATGACAGTGAGGCAGAACATCGGGACGAAGAGAGCGCGTTCGTGATGGCGATAGTTATCTTTCAACGACACACGGAAAAACCTCGAGCGTAACATCTCGGCAGTTACAATTGGGTTACCATTCACGCGCGGCATTCCGGAGCACGCGTTCATCAAGAATGGCGTCCTGATCGCCGCCCAAGGGCGCTGCAGCAGCAGCGTGGAAACACCGGAGCGGATTTGCGCGCACCTCGCTGCGGGCTTTGCCGCACGGCCCGTTCCATCGGCCGAGAAAGTTTCCGCGGCAGGAACTTCCGGGGCGTCTTCCAGGAATTCCCTCTCCTCGCCGCGGGGTCGCAGCGCGGTCGCGGGAGGTGACATAACACTGACCCCTTTCGACGATGCGCCTTCCCCTCCCTGCAATGGCGACCTATTTCGATCGGCCCCTTTTGGGGGGCGGAGGATTTCAGTCCTCTGTCGCCGAGACAGTACGGCGAAATGGGAAATACAGCGATCATGTACTTTACGTTGTCTTCTAGACTGATTTCGTTTCAACATCTATTTACGCTAGAGTCACATTTTAGCGACGTACATAGCACGTTTCGTGGAACAAAAATTGCATTGGGACAGGTGTGCTGAAACTGCGCTGTGGCTAACGAGAGTAGGCGTGTGCACGGGGGGGAAGGCTTCGCCCTTTCCTGAAGGGAACCTTGCTGAGCACGCCTAGCGTTTTGGGATAGACACTGGATTTCAGGCAAATGCCTATTTTGTTGCTTACGTGGCTATCGCTGCACTTTGTTATGTGAACATGAATTAGGTTAAGAAGGACTTATTGAAGTGTCTTTATAGTGCGTATATAGATAGATATGTGGGCTTTAATGTCTCAAAACCGCCAAATGACTATGAGAGACGCCGTAGTGGAGGGCTCTGGAAGTTTCGACCACCTGTGCTTATTTAACGTGCACCCAAAGCTGAGCACACGGGCGTACATAATTATAGTTTGTATAAATGCCGATTTTTGGCGTTCGCGCCTAAGTACCTATTTGTGTTGATATAAATGCTTATTTTAAGATTAGGCGTATTAGACTCAACCTCGAATTTTGCTTTCTAGTGCAATTTGAGACGCTTAATCAAGTTACCGGGCAATATTTACTGTTGGAAACATTACGAGGTTCAACCTATGCTCTTGCAAAACCAACTTTCGGAAAACAACCTCTGGTAGCAGTGAAATAGGAAGCATCGCCACCATACGCCGCCATGCTGCTGACACGGCGCGAGAAGTTGGCGAATAGGCAAAACTTTTCAAAGCCGTTCAGGAAAAGCCGAGTGGAGATTAAAAATCAATCAATCAATCAATCAATCAATCAATCAATAAATCAAGAATTAAATACACAAAGAAATAAATGAATAAACAAATACAGAAATAATTAAATAAAGAAAGGAATAAAAGAAAGAAAGAAATAAAGAAAGAGAGAAATAGAGAAATAAATAAATAAATAAATAAATAAAGAAAGAAAGAGGAAAGAAAGAAAGAAAGAAAGAAAGAAAGAAAGAAAGAAAGAAAGAAAGAAAGAAAGAAAGAAAGAAAGAAAGAAAGAAAGAAAGAAAGAAAGAAAGAAATAGCGTGGCTTGCATGATGCCGCGGAAGGCTGGGTCATAGCAGAGCTAGTCGGCTGATGATGGATTTGTGCACGTCGGAGAAATTGGCGAACGTGTTCTATGAGGGAGGAAGAAGAGAGCGGTGATGAGCGAATTAAGGGAACGTGTGCAGGTTCATTGAAATGACAGTTTCTTTCCTTCGCCCCATGGTGAACTTGCAATACCCCAAGCGACTATGCTCTCTCCTTTTTATCTCATTTTCTGTATCTGTGTCTGTCCATTTCTTTCTCTGCCTTTCTGTCTTTTTCTATTCCTTCCGTTGCTACCTCTTTCTCTGTATTCAGAATCTCCTTTCTCATCTCTTTCTTTGTGCACTTATTCTTCTCTTCTCCGAATCTGTCAAACCCTCGCTTCCTTTTCTCAGCCCCTTGCTATGCGCCTGCTGGCGGCGCGCGGCCAGCGTGCTTGGACAACCGAGTGGTTATAGGACGCCACAGCTTTCGGCTCGTGGGTACGCAAGTTTGAATCTCGCGTCGGGAAAGAAATTTTTTCGCCAACTTAATTTCTCG